AAAAGTGGTCTTATATCACAATTTTTGATATAACTAATCAATGAAAAATGATAAATTAGGAAATGCAAATGAAAATTAGATCATAACTAATGTGCTTTTAGAAAAAAAATTCTTCTTAAAAAATAAAAATTAATAAATATTTTATCTGTATTTATATACCCAAAATTTTAAATTAAAATCTGTTTTTTTTCTTCAAATTCCATAATTCCACATATTTAAAAAAAAAAGTTACATTAGAAAATATTATTATATCTTATTGATCAATATTTATAAACAAAAACCATAGTATAAAATAAAACAAACAACCATTACAGGAAAAATATAATTAAAAATTATATAATTGTACGGGTTTTTATTTACTTCATTTCATTAATTTTAAAAGTATTATTAATTTCATAATCATCATTTACTTCACAACCATTATAAAATAATTTACTTAATAATAATCATTTACTTCTTAATCATCATACAATTCGTTAAAATAATCTTCATCTTCTTCGTCACCATTGTCATTTTCCTTTTGGGTAAAGATAAGTAAATCCAAAGCTAGATAAGTAAGTCCAAAGTCTGAGGCATTTGCTGTATTTTCTTTTTGCAATTCTTCCTCTTGCTCGAAATAAATGGATCTGAACTTAAAAGAAATCTATTAAAGACGTCTTCTATTGTATTTTCCCGCCTGAATTTACTGGAAAAGTGCTCCCAATAGTTTTTGAAGTCCTTATTTCTGGCTTCCTGAGAGTCTTCATTTAGCTGATTTATTTTACAACTTCTTTATTATGTCAAAAAATTCACCAAAAAGGCAAACAGATTTTCTGGAATTTATAAGCTTAAATTTCATATTTTAAGAAAATATAAGCAGTTTTACTAAGTCAATCAATAATACCTCATTTTCAATTTTAGAAGTCTTAATTAAAAGCATGTGTTGTTTAGTGTACAGACTCCGATTAAGTTCATATATACATCTCGTATGACCTTTTCCTGGAGGATGTTAAAAAGGTTACACGACAAACTGTCAGCTTGTCTGAATCCGACAAACTGTCACCTTGCCGTATAGCCGTATTAATGGCATAGCTTTAAATATCTCTGAACGGATAGGGCTGTCGAATGCGGCTTTATAGTCGACGAATAGGTGGAATGTGTCGATGTGTTTTCCAGGGTCTTTTACAGGATTTGGCGCAGAGTGAAAATCTGGTCAATGGTGGATTTGGCAGGTCTGAAGCCACATTGGTATGGTCCAATAATGTCATTGACCATTGGCCCCAGTCGTTCACACATCACACTGAATAGCACTTTATATGCGATGGGAATAAAGTCTTTCCTCTATATTTGGCACATATCGTCTTGTCTCCTTTTTTTTGCACGGGACATTGGATGCTGAGGTTCCACTGATTGGGCGTGCTTTCCTGACCAGCATCTGACCATCGGTCTTGAATAGACTGGTAATACATACATCGGCACCTGCTGATTTATTGTTCTCCAGCAGATTAATTGGTACTCTGACCTCATCTTGGCTAGGTGATCTTTTGGTGATTTTGGACACAGATACTCCTTGGGTAGAAAATTTTACTACCAAAAATGATCAATTTCTGGTAGCAACCATATAATTCGGGATAGTAGACACATTTTCCACATAATTAACGGAATACAAAAATATAGACAACTCGCAGTGCAGAATATGTTTCTAAAAACTTTAAAATACGTAAAATGGGCCTGCACCTTAATAACTGTAATTTTTTATTCCGGGTCCTATATCGAGCATAAAATCGGACGACAATATATATTGGAGCGATATCTAAATCTGAACTTATTCTAACTAAACTTAACACACGCCATCATAGACGAAACATTTGGAGGTTAGTGCACTGTTAACATAAAATGGGAAAAACATATATATGGAAGCTATACCGAAATCTGAACCGATTTTCTTAGGTTCTTGGGCCATAAAAGTTTAAGAAAGTAATTCTATGTATATTCTCAAAAGTAACCATGGGCCTATCTCGTTTCCTTTTGCCTGTTCCAAAGACATAATACCCATGCACAGTGTGACCGTAGAATTAACAAGTGAAAAAGCGTTAAGTTCGGCCGGGCCGAACTTTTGATACCCTCCACCATAGTTATACTGACAGATACATGCAATGAAAATACCGATTTATGTTAACCATTATTTACACCAAATACAAACTTCAGCAATTGTTAATGGGGATTTTTCGTAAAATGTGTAAGATCCAAAAAGTGGACTGATACTGATAACGCATGGTAGAGTATAAAATCCTCAAACTACTGTAATTTAGATTACAAAGTTATATGAGGCTATGCCTAAAAGGGGACCTATATTAATTACATAGTGTAGGAAATAGTGAATATTTGGGGATATCATTATATGAGGGCTATGCCTAATTAATGACCGGTATATGCCAATTTTGAACCCAATATTGTTTATCCCAATTCTTTCCTTCAGGAGATATCACTATATTGAGGAGATGCCTAAATGTCTGCCGATATATTTCATTATCGTCATGTTTGAGCTTTATTTTATCACAATATATTTAGAAGACGGAATGCATACAACAGATGGCTAAATAATCTAACGACTACCCAACCGCAACACACGGAACAAATCAGATATCTATTTTAATATAAACCAGTAAGGAAAGAAGTAAAGTCGGACGGGGCCGACTATATGATACTCTTCACCACTTTGGGTATATTCAACAAATGAATCCTAACAGACGTCGAATTTTTGAGGGATCCATAAATTGGATCCATAAACATTCGGAAAGCCGTTGATTATTTGGATAAATATCTGATAAACATGAGAAGTTTGTTGCACCATTTACTTAAAATCGGGAGAAATATATGCTGGGTTTTGGTGCTTTGGTGTACCATTTAACTAAAATCGGACGAAACTATATATGATAGATATATCTAAATCGGAAACGATTCCTACAAAATTTTGCAAACGCTAGGCAATATAAATTTCAGCACGTTGTGCAAAATTTTGCAGCAAACGGCTTAACTTTGGGTCTTTTGTGCACCTTTTACTTAAAATCGGATGAAACTATATCTAGGAGCTATATCTAAATCTAAACCGATTTCAACAAAACTTGCCACACGTTATGTTATAGTATCTTCAGTACGTTGTGCAAAATTTTGTGCCAATCGGACGAACCTGGGGAGTTTGGTGTATAATTTATATCTATCTTCTAGTTTATACTAGCATCAGTACTTTCTGCAAAATTTTGTGCCAATTTTGTGTAAAATCTGATGAAAGTATATATGTAGAAGCTTTATCTAAATCTGAACCGATTTCAACGAGACTTGCCAGAGATTAATTTATATTCACTACAGTTCATTGTACAAAATTGTGACATACTTTGGGTCTTTAGTGCACAATTTACATAAAAATAAAAAAATATATATATGAGAGCTATATATATATATATATATATATATCTGAACTGATTTCACGAAACATAACACACATCCTTCTAGACGTTATTCAGTACGCTATGTCAAATTTCGTGCAAATAGAAATATATATGTGGACATTGGTGCACCATATACCTTAATACGGACAAAAAAATATATAGGAGCTATATCCAAATCTGAACCGATTTTCGCGACACTTAACACACATCATTCTAGACCTAATTCATTACCCCATACAAAATTTCGTGCAAATCGAAAGATATATAGGGACTTTGATGCACCATTTACATTAAATCGGACGAAAATATATATGGGTGCTATATCCAAATCTGAACCAATTTTCAAGAAACTTGACACACAATATTCTAGACCTAATTCAATACGCTGTGCCAAATTTCGTGCAAATCGAACGATATATAGGGACTTTGGTGCACCATTTACATTAAATCGGACGAAAATATATATGGGAGCTACATCTAAATCTGAACTTATATGGGGGCTATCCGTGGACCCATATTAATAATTTTTAGTGGAGAGATTTGCTACCCAATAAGAACTCAATATACCAAATTTCAGCGAATTCAGTTGAAAAACGCGCTCAAGAACCTCAAAATACCGAAAATTGGGGGTTACCCTTATATGGGAGCTATGCCTAAACGTGGACCGATAAAGCCCATCTTCGAACTTGACCTGACCTGCTATGCAAAATTTTGGCCATCTATCTCAATTCGTTTAAACGCTAGAGTGATTACAACAGACAGACGGACATGGCTAGATCGTCATAGCATTTTACGCTGCTCAAGAATATATATACTTTATATACAAACGGAAAAACAAAATTAATATACCCTCCATACTATGGTGGAGGGTATAAAAAATAAAGAATGCATTCGTTTACTTCTGTTAGTGAAAGAAACTAAAATATCATCGGATTATGCTAGTTAACACCATACCTTATATGCATAAAATATAAAATTAAAGTTTGGAATCGGCTTGATGATGTTGTTGCTGCTAACCGATACCTTCACTAAAAATCCGTTATTTCTTCAAGAGATTTTGAACATTTTACGAAAAATGTTTGAATATTTCAGGTTATTTCAACAATGTCCTTTAAAAAGGACAAGTTCAATCATATGCGACCAGATAAGTGGACATGTAAAAATATATTCAAAAAGTACTTCTAAGTAAATAGTAAATATTAAATATGGGTCAGTCATGCTCTATTTTCCACATTACAAACAAATTCATTCATATCATATCACAGTGCGATGCTGCGTATTGAAATACCTACCAAGAGCTTTGACCATTCAAAATTGTACGGCAAAATATTTATTCTAAAAAATTCTTTATTTTGTAAAAAATAGTGGTGTAAAATTTTAAATCTAATTGCAACTACTTGTAGGTAAAACATACACAATTCTATGAGATTTTTAGGCATTTCATTTGTATTATATACATAAATACACATGTAGAAATAGTGGAGACAAAAACCACCGTCACAGGTTTTACAATTTCCAATTATAATTACATATTCCTCTCGGACACCTACTGTCGTTCCATTCCCCCTTCCATTAACTCAAAGCCAACAAAGGATCTTCTTCGGCTACTTTTGGCACTTTCGGTATCCATTTCTTTTTGACAATTTTCGTTTTAACCAATTTCATTTTCTTTGTCGAGACATTCTTTTTCAATTTTCTCTCTTCAGCTGCCTTCTCTTCATCGATTTGTTGCAATTGTTCGAAAATATTATTGGGTCTATGTCTCTTCTCTGGCTTGGTATTGGTTGCATTTTTGGCAGCATAAACAACAACATATTGGGAAAAATCAGCTTCCGAGGGAGCATTTAAATCAGCAAAATCACGAAATTGTGCGAATTGTTCTTCAGGGTAGGTGTATTTTTGTATAAAACCTTCTGTGGCTGGGCCACTATGTGAATTGCTGCTGGCATCTGTGTAATAAAAATCTCCAGTACCCTCCTGATGATATCCAAGATCTTCGTCGGAGTAGAATGTACCACCACGAAGTATTCCAAAATCACCTGACCCCAATATGCTGGCATCATAATGTGTAAAAGCTTGTGGCCGTGCCTTGGTGAGAAAATGCTTCTGATGCTGCTGATTGAGAAAGGTTCGAAAGAAGGGTTCTTCTGTGGCTTGATAATAGGGCCGTGAATGACCCAGCGGTGGCAAACTTGGATGATGGTAATACGTTGAGAAATAGTTTTGTTCTGCCGTTGTTAAAGCATCTTGAGATGTTGATGGATGGCGTTCTTCTTCTTCATCTCCATCCTCTTCAACGGTTATGCGAATTCCTCGTGGTCTTAATGTTGTTTCGAATTGTACGGTTTGTTGCCGGCGTATAGTTGATGATGGCAATGTATCAGCGGTTTCGGTGGAGGGAGAACCTGTAAATATAATTTATATTTTAATTATTTAAATATATTATAAATATTAGTTATATTAAATTCAAATATTTAAAATATATATAAGTTGCCGCCTTCGGCGTAGCCTCTACATTCCTACTCTTTTTTCACGATAGCGCCCATATAATGTTACCTCCAACTTTAGTTATTTTGAAACTTTAGCACGTTTTTTAAACAAATTTTCTAATGTAATATAAGGGGTTCTCATTGAGCAGAAAATATCCCTACCAAGATTTTTTATAATTAGCCCATGTTTAGTGGAGCCCCTAGAGAAAGGTACCCCCGTACGGTATTTTGGGTGGTTTAGGAACGAAAATTAGTCTACGTATCCCTAATTACTACAGTTTTGGTCTTTGTTGAGAAGGGCTTGGAAATACAAACAGCCAATTGATCTTACTAATTGACACTTTATAGAGCTAATGTTCACTCAAGCACTGCTACAACCGATCGGTCAATAATTGATTGTCCAATTAAGCCCTCCAGTACAAATTCTGTCAAATATTTCACACATTTTCCCACCAAAATACACACTCAGCCCTTCAAACCTTATATCTAATCAATATCAATACATTTTCAAATTATTCCAAAATTTATCTCTTCAACAATCACATCGATTAACCACATCCACAAAAAAAATTAAATTACTCTTTTAATTGATAATTTCCTGTGAAAAAATAAAAAATCCAAAACATCTTCAAATTTTGAGCGACGTATCTACGCCTGGCTGTCACAGCTATCCATTAAAATGTCAGGCTACCACTTCTGAGAACTTGCAACGTCAAGATATTAAAAAATCATTAAACTCTTAGCAATCCCAATTTCAAATCGCCATCATCATCATAATCAACGCCACCACCATTAACGCATCAAAAAACTGCACAAATTTAATGGAAATCTTTGAATTTTTAGTTTTTTATTCGAAATGATCATCGTCGATGGGATGTCATCACCAAGTTGATCCATCCATCCACCAGCAACATAATCGTCAGTAGTTACAGATGGAGCAAAAAAAACAGCTTTGAATTATTCAACATTCAAAACATTTACTTGAAGCTGATCATTATCATTATTTGTGTTGTTGTCTACCTTTTTTTGTTGTTGTTGCATTTAATGTTGTAAAATAAGTATTACAAACAGTTGCATAAAACCATTGAAAACTTCATGTTGTTGTGCTTCAGATTCATTGATCCATAAACCGTGATATCATAACTTTGTGTCACAATGAATTTTTTGAACATAGGCTTCCGATGAATAGAAAAGGTTTTTATAGTCGATGCCCTATGCCAGTTCTTCGAAGGTGGTGAAATAAGTTCGTCTATGTATGAAAAGCTGAAAAAATACTAAATGATGGTAGTATTTAATGCTGATCAGAAGCAGAGTCATGCTCATGATCCAATAACGAAGAACATAAATACAAACTAATCGGTTAAGACCGGTCGATATTACTGCCCAATGAAATTGCGAAAGCGAAGCTATAAACCAAACAACATCTGACACCATCTCACTTGTTACGGTAGCCCTCATATATTGGTACCACCAACATCATATATGTTAAACTCTGTAAAATCGTATTTAAATATATACGCCTTATTAAAAATAATATTTAAAAAATTTTTAAAAATATTTAAAAAATTCGAAGCATAGTGGTAGACCTTAAAATATTTTAAAACCAGTGAGTATAGTTGGACGGGGCCGACCCGACTCGGGACCCTACACAACTTCCACGAAAATCTACCTTTGTGTGGTTCTATATTCTGAGCTTGGGCAATATTTCGCAATATTTATTTACTTGTCCAGATTCCCTTCAGCGTGGGTTGTGTTGCTATGTTCGGCTTTCAATTGGGCATGTATATCGACTCGAAAAAAACACAAAAGATTCAGTTTACGGTCCACTTCATCCCAATATTATTATCTGATCATCACCGACATTGTCCTTGACCATGCCTGGATCCTTATGGAAAATCTCAAAGCGATCAGCGCTATATTTCCGGGTTGCTAAATAATATTAATACGTTAGCACCTGTGAATATTTAAGTGTAAATCCACATCCGAGTACACACGATAGTATCCTCCTCTTGGATATATTATCAACATCTCGGGTCTACTATGTCCTTAAGGGGTAAATATATATATATATATACGCTACAGAACACAAATTTTGTATATTTTCACACAAAAGTAAGGTTGCAGTTGACCCTCTAAATATTGACCGATCTTTATCAAAACAGGCATGCTTATTCTTTGGTCCGATCCCCTTCTCCATGCAAATATTCGCGATGTTTGAGCCATAATTGCAGCCTCTGGAGCGACCAGAAAAACCGACAAAAATTAGGTATTTGGTCCATTTCATCCCCGAAATATTAACCGATCTTTACCAAAAACAATAGGGGTCTTCATTGGCCAGAACCCTCCTACATGCAAAATTTCGTGAAGATTGGTCCATAACTGTGGCCTGTATCGTGTTTACAAATTATAATGGACAGACGGACGGACGGACATACATGCTTGTAGACCATAAAAATGTTTTAAAAAATACCACTTGTAAAAATGCATTAGAAACCCAGTAAGAAAAGTTCAATAGTCGGACGGAGCCGACTATATGATACCCTTCACCACTTTGGGTACATACAAGACATGCTAATATATACAATATCCTGATAGAACAGACTTAGCATCTTTGGAATCGGGCGAAATTAAACGTGTGATCTACATAGATTTTTGAACCAATGAAAAAAAAACATAGACATACCATTCTAATATTTATGAAAAATTGTGGGTCAATCGGGCACTCTGGATACATATGTGGCATACACCATCTAGTATTCTGCAGCACATTGCGCAGTCCACACTTTCATCTCGGTAGAAGAAACCTTCATTATTTGGTACACAAATGGAATGAACTCAGATGAAAATATTATACGTTGTGCAGAAATTCGTCCCAATCAAAAAACAAAAAAAAAAAAACAAAAACTTTAGTTATTTGGTACACCATTTAGATGAAATCAGATATAAATATATATGGAAGCTATATCTAAACGTGAACCGATGTTAACAAGTTTCAATCTAATACTCTCTGCAATATTTCATGTAACGCCACCAAACGTAAGCTGATAGGTGCACCATTTACATGAAATTAGACGAAAATATTTTGTTTTAATCGAACAAATCTTGGGGGTTTGGAGCACCATTTACATAAAATCGGACGAAGCTATATATAGGAGCTATACATAAATCTGAACCGATTTCAGTGAAACTTAAAACACTCTATTCTAGTCTAAATTCCATTCGTAATGCCAAATTTCGTCAAAATCGGACAGAAATTGGGAGCTCCATTTACATAAAAATGGAAGAAGCTATATATGGGAGCTATATCGGATCTGATTTCAATGAAACTTAACACACTCTATCCTAGTCTCAAATTTTGTCTTAATCGGACAAAAATTGGGAGTTTGTTGCACCATTTACATAAAATCGGATGAGGCTATATATGGGAGCTATATCTGAATCTGAACCGATTTTTACAAAACTTCACAGACATCAAACTAAATTTAATTCAGTACGCAGTGCAAAATTTTGTCTCATTCGGACAAATATTGGGAGTTTGGCGCACTATTTAGATAAAATCCGACGAAAATAAATATGGGAGCTATATCTAACTTTGAACCGATTTTCTCCAATTTCAATAGGGTTCGTCCATAGGCCATATGAATGGGCTGTGCCAAATTTCATCCAATTTGGATCATAAATGCGACCTGTACTTTGTCACAAAAATACATGGACCTTTTTTGACTGTCAAAAAGGTGTAAACGTCGAAAACGTCATATACCTGTATAAAATGTAATAAATGTAGTAAACACAATTTATTGGAATATTATTACCATATACAGTTATTATCAAAAATATAAATTATTTTTACATATGTCTGACTATTTTTTACTAGAACTAGAACTATAGTATATAGCTATTTTGTCAAAAATCTAATAGTTTTGAGTGGGTTTCCGACGTTTCTGACATATGTATTATACGTCAGATATGTATGTCATTTACGTCACGGTTTCTGACGGACCATCTCTGGTGAAGGGTATAATTATCAATAAAGGTTCATGTTTTTAACCAATTTTTAACAGAAGTTTCTATGCCATAGGATTATTGATAAATATAGAAATATTGATAAATATATATCCATAAATTATTCAATATAGGTAATATTTTATTATAGCCCCCATACAAATCTCTCCATTATTCTTCGGTATGTTGATGTTCCTACCACAGTTTCTAATCTGAGGGAATATAAATTTGAAACATTATTTTTTCGGACCAAAATCTATCTATTACCGCATAGTACAATAATTTAGTCTGTATATAAAGGTTCCAACCTTTTTTATTTGATTTTTTATACCCTTCGCCACAATGTGGTACAGGGTATTTTGTCTTTGTGCATATGTTTGTAACAGACAAAAGGAAATGAGATAGACACATGGTTATTTTGGAGAATATGCATAGAATCACTTTCTGAGTCGATTTATGCATTGTTGTCCTTCCGCCCGTCCATGTTAAATTGTAAACAAAGTACAGGTCGCATTTATGATCCGATTTAGATGAAATTTGGCACAACTCACTTATTTGGCCATATTGAAATTGGTGAAAATCGGTTCAGATTTTGATATAGCTCCCATAAATATTTTCGTCCGCTTTAATGTAAATGGTGTACCAAAGCCCCCATATATCTTACGATTTTCAGGAAATTTGGCATGACGTACTAAATTAAGTCTAGAATGATGGACGTGAACATCAGTTCAGATTTTGATGTAGCTCACATCCGATTTAATTTAAATGTTGCACCAAAATTCCTATATATCTTTCGATTTCTAACAA